TATAAAATATATATTATCAGATTATGTAAACAAATACTGAAAAAATATAATGTAGAATATAATTCTAATATAATCCATCGGCCCTAGATTCTCAATGCATTAATACCCAAAGTAAGTACAACTTAAAATTATATAGTTAAAATGATAAAATTTATTCAAGTTAATGTTTACAGTAAAAAAATAATCACCTTACCGTAGGGTTATTATTAGATACATACTTATTTATATCCATTAAGTGCAGGAAGGGAGTGGGTCATTTGCTCTTTAGTATTTTAAATTATTTTATTCTTTAAATAAATTTGTAAGGATGGAAATTTTCACTTAATTTCCACCTACATAAAACACCATCACTCACCAACAAATTCTGGAGATATCTGAAATTAAAATTTAAATTGAATTAAAATTTGTTTACATATGTATATATTAACTATGTTATGCTTACTTGAAAATGCTCGCCTCTGCAGCACCCGTCAACATTGTGGCTAGGTTGTACAAACTATAAATTGAAATATAATATTTGAAATAAAATTAAGATTAATTGAAAAGAAAATATACGCACCAGTTTTTAATTTTGTTAATTTATTAAATAAAATTAACAACAAAAGGAAAAAAAACCACCACCGAAACAACACGTTTTGCAAACAAATCAAAACAATAGAATCGCGAAGTAAGAAACAAGAACTGTCAAAATATTCGCCGTAAGAGAGGCTCAAAGAGAAGCTGAGTGCACATACAAAGTACCGCACACAACATGAAATAGAAAATCTATAAACGGCAAAGTAAACAAGAATAATGTGCGCTCAGCTGTAAACAAAATTATGGCGCTACACAAAAGCTCGGTCGAATGGGTATATAAGACGCGCAATTTTCTTATACGAGAGACTTGACATATAATCACTAAGGCACATACACCTAGTAAAAAAGAAAATATAAATTCAAGTCCAAAACAAAGGATAATTCCACATCAGGAATTATTAACACAAAGTTAAACCAATATATTTCAATAATTCTACATCAAGAATTATTATACAAAGTCGAATTATATTATTTCAAGTGATCGAATTACGTCTATCGTAAATAATATAATTTTGCAGAATATTTATACAAAGGATAATTTCACATCAGGAATTATCAATACAAAGCTAAAGCAATTCATATCAATAATTCTACATCAAGAATTATTGCACAAAGTCGAATTATATTATTTCAAGTGGTCGAATTACGTCTATCGTAAATAATATAATTTTGCAGAATATTTATACAAAGGATAATTCCACATCAGGAATTATCAATAAAAAGCTAAATCAATTTATCTCAATAATTCTACATCAAGAATTATTATACAAAGTCGAATTATATTATTTCAAGTGGTCGAATTACGTCTATCGTAAATAATATAATTTTACAGAATATTTATACAAAGGATAATCCCACATCAGGAATTATCAATACAAAGCTAAACCAATTTATCTCAATAATTCTACATCAAGAATTATTATACAAAGTCGAATTATATTATTTCAAGTGGTCGAATTACGTCTAGCGTAAATAATATAATTTTACAGAATATTTATACAAAGGATAATTCCACATCAGGAATTAATACCACAAAGCTAAATCAATTTATCTCAATAATTCTACATCAAGAATTATTACACAAAGTCGAATTATTTCAAGTGGTCGAATTACGTCTAGCGTAAATAATATAATTTCACAGAATATATACATGAGGGATAATTCTATATCAAGAATTATCGATATTAACCATATTTTTCCCCTTAAAAAACTCTAAACTATCAAAGTGAATTACAACATCCGAATAATTCTTGGAAACACTACAGAGCATCCTGTTATATTCAAATCAATACCGGTCATTTGGAAGATTTAAGCAGTTACTTATAAAATTAAGCCAAACTTAACCAATATTTGTTAATTGTAAAATTTTATCCAACTAAATAACTTTAATAATAAATAATTTTATTCTACTAAATAATAAAATCCGGAAAACATAAACGTGTCTCTGAATATTTTAGTTATATAAAAATTTATTGTAAAGCAACGACTACAAGAAAGGGTCGATATAACACAATCTTTTATTTGAGAAGTCTTGTCCTTGTAAATACAATTTTATTGTAACGACTCCTGGAAACGGCTGAGGTTACCCCGGCAAAGGAAATAACGAAACGGAAAATCCGTGTCGTTACAATTGGCGCCCGAGCAGGGACATTTGACTTCTCAAAATTTAATCAAAGTAATATCCACGTTACCATGGCACAAGCGAAACCAACCATGGATACTCTTACCCCTAACACCTCAAACAATACAGAACCGAAAGCGGAGATCCTACAAAATTTACACGAAGCTCGAAGATCTCCAACACCAAATAAATCATGGGTCTATAATATTCGCAAAGATGAACTGAGTAAACAATTGGAAAACTTTCAGTTAGATACAACAGGAACAATGGAAGAACTACGCCGACGCATGACTAATTTCATTGAAGAAGGAAACTACGACTCGGTCACCCGCAATGAGTTAACAATCCTCGCACAGAATCATACAAGAACAAGTACCAATTCCAGTATAGAAGGAAAAATGAGCAATTCACTAGTACCAGTTTTGACATCACTTAATGTTCCAACCATGGCTCAAGTAAGAAGCTGGTCAGTCCAATATAATGGTGGAAGAGACCCGCTAGCCTTTATCGAGAGAGTTGAAGAAGTAGCAACCATGGAAAATATTGACCTCAATGCTATTCCACACACAATGCCAGAACTCCTGAAGGAAAGAGCTTTAATGTGGTATCGAAACAACAATAGACAGTGGCAACTTTGGTCTCAATTTAAAAACGACTTCCTTCAATTCTTTTTACCTGCGCGATACTTCGAAAAACTGGAGGTCGAAATCCGGTCGAGACAGCAAAAACAGGAAGAACCGTTTAAAGACTATGTTTTAACACTTCAGAATTTAATGCGACAGGCCGAGGTTCGACTTGCAGATAATACCACGAGGTATGTTCAGACGTATATAGAGGCAAACGTTCAATTGGGGCAAAAGAATATGCGACAGAAGTTGTTGATTTTAAATGAAAGTACGGATGAAATCATGTTAGGTTTGGACTATTTTCAAGCAATAGGCACATCAATGCAAATAGGAGATCATCTCATCGTCATGAATAATACGGACCCCCCATCAGTGGAGAAGTATATACCAAGTGCGTCTCTAGCCCAAACAGAACACGAAGCTACCATTAAGGATTTCCTGGACAAAGAACTTAAATATTTCCATGCCATGAGTGGCGTCTCGAATATCACCACCCACAAGATAGTGATGAAGGACGACCGGCCTATTAAACAAAGATATTTTCCTAAGAATCCCGCAATGCAGCAAATTATCGACGAAAAGGTGAATAAACTACTTGAGAAAAATTGTATCGAGCCATCCAAAAGTCCCTACAGTGCCCCGGTGGTCCTGGTAAAGAAGAAAAATGGCACATGGCGTTTCTGTGTAGACTACCGGCAACTAAATGCGAATTCCATTCCAGATGCCTATCCCTTGCTTCGTATTCACCACATTTTAGATCGCCTTCGCAATGCAAAATTCATAAGTAGCAGTGATTTGAAAGATGGTTATTGGCAGATTCCCATGGACGAGAAGAGTAAACCACTCACAGCTTTCACAGTACCAGGACGAGGACTATTCCAGTGGCCCGTACTCCCATTTGGTCTACACTCCGCACCCGCTACATTTCAACGAGCGTTAGATCAAGTTATTGGAGCGGACATGGAA